TTTCCTTCTTTTGAAAAACAAAGAGGTGAAGTAATATGCTCAGTTCTACCTTGCTTACTTACTACTTACTTACTTACCATTACACTGGTAATGAGAAAGCACTTTTGCATTCTGAGCTTGAGCTGTCCTCTCAGTAGTGGAAGGCAAGGGTGAAAAAAGTCAGTGGGATTCTGGCACTGTTGATGGCTCACAAGTCATTGATCTGGAACTAGTAGTAGAAAGGCAGCATTCATAATAAAGCTTGCAGCTATTTCAGGTTAGCTTCTCTCAGCAGAAATCATCTTCCTGGAAAGGCCCCACAGAGACTGGCTTAAAATAGTTATCATTAGGAAAGAGATGCACTGCAAAAAGGCAGTGTTACTGAAGAAAACAACCTAAGAGAAGAAGGAGCTTAAAGTTATTCCTGGATTCAGTCTCCTCCACCTCCACCTGCTGCCATGTCAGGATAATGGTAGGTCCGTGTTGTGCCTTCATCCTTCTGGGCCGTAGCTCTTTATATCTCCTGCTTCTCTGGTGGAAGGGAAAAGGTACGGGTCTGTCTTCTAGATGGACAGACATGAAGGGATCACTACTTGACACATTGTTTTTTCTGTGTTTTGTAGAAGAGAAGAACAAGAATGCAATCATTTGCATGGTACTCTCTGTAGTTATAAATGGCTTTAAAGTATGTAGAGGCAGCTGATCATGGTCTCTCTGAGGAAGTAGTTATTGATTTACTGATTTAATATCTATAAAACTTAAATGAATCTGCTCATTTGACAGTAAGTACCCAAAATTAATTCTAATCAATTATATAAAATGCATCCCTTGGGCTGTGAATCCTGTTTGAGGGCAGCATAGTAGTAGGCAATGTTGCTGACTTCTGAAGAGAGCAACTGGGTTTGCAGCTTCAGTATTTCTGAGGCTTAGTCAAGAGTACAGTTAGGGTATGACAGTTCATTTTGTGAAACTTAGAGGTCTGTTAGTACTATGTTGAAACAAATCCAGAATCATGTAATGGCTGTCTGGGATCTCCTACATCTCACAGCAGTGCTCCCACCACCAGATGACAGGTTGCAAAATTCACCTTTTGTTTTCCTCTGGTAAGATCTCCACTGAAACAGAAATATTTTCTTTATCTGCAGAAAGCATTTGGCATCAACTAAATGAAATGTTGACGAAAGAAAAAAAAGCAAAAAAGGTAGCCAGAAATATTTGACCTTAGCCTCAGTCTTCTAAGTACCATAGGATTTTGTTAACTTTTGAATGACAACAGCTAAAATATATACAGCAGAGAATCAAACTGTATTCAGCTTTGAATAATCCAGAAATCATGTAATCAGTTTGTTTGATTAATTGTATCAGTGTTTGTTTTACAGGTAGGAAGGTGTTTTCAGTTCTAATTGACGTATGAGGGGTTTTGGGTTTTCTTTTAATAGGTATGAAGATAATAGTTAAAGCTGTGAGGTACTGATGAGCATCAGGTAATGAAAAAGAAGTCAATATACAGCCAATTCATTTGTATAGATAAAGCACAGTAGCATCTCCTGTGATATAAGAAAAATTAAATTATACATCTCAGCTTAATGTAAACGTCCTTCAGCTGAGTGATATCATATCAAATATGCTTCCTAGCACTCTTAAAAGTATTTCTAAATACAGGGTGTCTTTTGACATTCAGAAAGGTAAAACAATAATCTTCTGACTGCACTTGAGAGCTTAGTTTCCCAGTTTGCCTCAGCAACTGACTGCTCTGTGAGGTCCCCCAACAGTGGGAAAAGGTTTGGATGAAAGTCCCTCAGGTGAGAACTGCTGAACCCTGGCACAGCCATTCACAGGAGTGCAGCTGTGTCGCTATGTACCAGGTCACTTGCCATCCCCCTTCTTCCCACCTCTGCTTCCAGTCCACATGAATTGCTAAAGGTGGTCGCAGCAGGAGGATGTTATCAAGGAGGCACTCGTGCAAGATCACATTGCCTGTATGCTTCTCTCTTCTAAGGATGGTTTTTAATTCGTCTCTACTCGTAAGCCAGGGAAAAAGGATGAGCACTGATAGATTTGGGTTCCCTATTTATCACTTGTTTGATAGATAATAAGCTGCATTCAAAAGGGATAAGGTAGTAGATTATAGAAGCCATGTGTAGCTAAAGGGCACATTTAAGAAAAATCCATTGCCAATTCCACAAGGAAACTTATATTCTGTTTTATTGTACTACAGAAAGACATCCCAGTTTATGCCCTTATGTCACAACTGTTACTTACTGTGAGAAGGGAGGAGTGGCTAATTACAGTGATCTTCGTCTTTGGGCATTTCTCTAGGTTAAGTGGAAGTGTGGTCTTTGAGTCCCAAATTGTGTCTTAGAACAAACTCCAAGTGGAAAATTTTCCAAAATACATTTTAGTGCTTTTAACTGATTAAAAATAATATTAAGACATATGTCATACTGTACTTTACTTTAAAGATACTGCAAATTGAAAGGAAAATCTTAAAAGTGCAATAGTTCAGTATTAGAAAATTTTGCTGTATTTCTAGCCTTTTCTCTTCTAATGTTTTTCCTCTGAAACTAATTTTGAAATCTGTCATTAATCTTGCTAAAATAAATACGTGATGGTACAAACATTTTCATTTATTTTTACTGCTGGCAAACTGTTACAGTTCCAGTCCTAAGTTCTTAGAAGTTTCTGACTGTATTGCCTCTTCAAGCAATTACAGCTGGTTTTTGTAGCACTGATAGATTCTTTTCCATTTTTTTTAAATACAGACTTATAAAACATCTCTAAGAAACAGAAATAATAGTAAATTATTTCCACATCATGTAGAATGCCTTTCAGCTTTTGTTCTAGTGCTCTTATTTTCCTGAGTTTTAGATTTCTCTCATTTAGCTTTGTCAGGTTAGAGTTCTGTTCTGAATTATTTTCTTGGTCCATCTGCTTAGTCAGTATGCATACCATAGTTATTTAATATATGGTTTTAATTTATGTGGGGATCAAACACTATAGAAATGCTTTTCTTTCTAATGCCAAGAAATGGAAAAGACGGTTGAATTCAGTGATTCAGGCTGTGATTAAGCATTGCTTTCCTGCCTCTGAAGACTGAATTTCTTATGTTTTGAGTTCTGAACATTTTAAAAGGTAGAAAATCATGCATTGTTTGTTGAACAGTGGAAATTAGGATCTAAAGTATTATTTTATAAGTAAATATTAATATATTTTATTTGCCAAATTGAGACAAGACCATCTACATATAAGATATAAAAAGGCAAGTAAAATGTTGGATTTATCATGCTTTCTCTCAATTCATGATGCTATGCATTTGTGGAAAGATCTGGTTTTATATTATTTCTAGCCTTCAAATGCAGTGTCTTTCTGATGTAAAATTTATATTACACATTGTTTAATTGTACTAGGTTTGTTGCAGGACACTGCCTCTGTAATATGGTAAATAATGAGCGCTGTATAATGTAAACATGGATCTCGTTCAGATAGGCTGTTTATGCAATGAGGTGTCCTATAATCTCCACTGTTGCTCTTAACCTTGTTCATACCACCTTTCATGGACTCTTGTCATCTACTGCCTTTCATGTCTCTGGCCCCTTTATTCCTTCTATTTTTCAGACTGCTTCTTTAGCAGTTCATTTACTTCTTGGATCCCGTCTCCTCTTTGATCTTTCCATTCTTCATTTATATCTCATTACTGTTTTCTACCCCTAACTCAATTTCAAACTTATGTGTTTATATGTGGGTTTTAAATTCACCTCTGTACTTTTAATCTCTCTTCTTATCCAGTCTCCTACATCTCATTCTTCTGCTATCTATCCTGTAAGCACAAAACTTACACCAAATTGCTCAGTGCTTTTACTTGAAATATCATGTTGGCAGTGTCATCTTATCCGTCCTTGTCAGCATAATCTGTGACAGTAGTTTTGGCTTTTCTTTCACTGGTTCAGGCCCTGAACATGTAAGATGTTTTTAAAAACAAACGCAATGCAGGCGTGGATTAGTGATACAAAGCTCTAATTGTGAAGCACCTGGGATACAGATACTTATGAGCAGCGAAGCACTGTTCCCAAATAAGCATCACTGAGGGATTTGGGCTCAGCTCTGTATGCATGTACGAAGATGGGAGTGGCACAAAAGAGGATCCTGTCATTTTCAGTTGATAGATATTGACTCATTCTGTAAATCTATCACTAGGAATCTCTGCTGATCTTAAAGAGGAGGAAAGTAGGAAATAGGAGGCCTGACATAGTTTAAATAGTCTGCAGAGCTATTGGAACTATAGTTTCTCTGGGCTGGTTTGTACTGCAGCATTGCCTGACATTTCCCTGACACAGGGAAGACCACCATAGGTCCAGCTCTCATGTGTTGGCCAGCCTTCAGCCCTGACTCCTGCAAACACCATATACCATAGTATTGCAATGCATCCTTGGAGGACAGCTCTATAGTCTGGAGTCTTCTGAAGTGGCAGCACCGCACTGCTCTTTCTGTCAAATAAGTTTTGCTTAGCCTTGGGTCTTTTACCTGAAAGAAGGGATTGGAAAAAGAATTAAACTTTTTATAGTTTTTAATAAAGAAGAAGTGTGTTCTAGCATCTGCAGGGTCAAGATGAAGATTGCCACTCTCGTACCCTAAACCTTCCTGTGAGTTGCAGCAGATTCCTGTAAACGTTATTGAGTGCTTTCCAGAGTATTTGCAGGTTCAAAGACATGTGTAACTCTGATAGCCACAGAGGCTGATGTTTTCTTCTAAGGGCCAGTAGAGGCCTGAGTCCATTGGTACACTGGGGCAGCGCAGCAGAAGTCCCACAACAGCACAGTGTTGCTGGAGACCTGCTGGCAGCAGTGCCGGGCTAGGGCTGACCTCACCTCCACAGCTAATAAGGTTGCCAGCCTCTAGAGTGTGTGCGACATTGTGTTTGCAGGGTTTTGTTTCGAGCAGAAGGCAGCAGTAAGTAGGCAGCACATTAGAGCTTATTTAGGGAATTTTCTCTCCGTAACTTCTTTTTTCTTTTGATGTTGCAGGAAATATTCAGGAAGTCATATTACAAGAACGCTTGGAAAAAGAAGATGAAATTCTGGTTTCCTTGGCTGGTTTGAAGCAGGTATAACTATAGCTCAGCTTAGCCCTCTTCAACCCTTCAGTGCTATTAAACCTTTCTTTTATTTCTCCTTTTTCATTCTTTTAGTATACTGCCATTTTGTCTTGATGTTACTAATACCAATGCATTGAGCATTCTGGTGTACTTTATCCAAAAAGGTAAAACTCAGTTATAAAGAGGTCAAATGACTTGCACTCTTGTTTGCTCCCTGGAAAGTTCTGGAGGCCTTGGACCAGAACTGAGGCAGTGCAACAGTGCATTCTGGACTTCAGCCACACCACTGACTTCTTAATGCAAAATGTACATGCTAGGCAATAGATATGCCTATTTCCCCAGTATTTAAATGTGCCAACACTGGAATGTCATTGAATTAAAAGAAAAGATACTATGTACATAAAATGAGAATGCTGCCGAGCATCTGTAGCTCTGATTATACTGCCCTCTGCTCCCTCAAAATACATTTTATGAGGAACAGTGTGACAAATCTTAAACGTGTAATGAGGTAGGGCATAATCTAAACAGTTTCATTCTCTTTAGATTTCTTGGAAAGTTGCTTTCCAGACTCTGATACAACCACATTTCACTGATACTTGTTTCTTTAACCAATATAGATAGAAATATTGACTTGTTTCCTAGTTCTTCAAAGCAAATATTTTGGGGAAATGGTATATAAAAACATACTGCACAGAGCTTTAAAAACATACAATTCCTCCAAATTTCTGAATTACATTCTTCCCTCTCTCATCCAACAACAGATCAAGGATATCCTGAAAGGTTCATTGCGTTTCAACCAGAGTCAGTTGGAAGCTGAAGAAAATGATCAAATCACCATAGCAGATGATCACTACTGTTCCAACAGTCAGAACAAGGGGACAGGTGATGCCCTAAAGGGACCTGTTATGACAAAGCAAGAGTTCATCTCAGAACAACAGGTAAGATAAAAACATCTCAAACAGGACACTAGTGGAATTAGTCTTATCATTTTTGGAGGCTTCCTTTAGCATATCCAGACTTTACTAGGGAACATACCAGCATTCCTGATACATATGGTTAAAGGTGTCCCTCTAGCCATTGTCCTACTCCCACCAATTATTTTTATTGTAGCCCTATGCTCCACACACGGATATTAAAGGTTTATTCAGTGTTTTGGGCAGGGAGGATTCTTCTTTCAGATTGCTGGATCACAGAATCGCAGATTGATTTCCCACAGAAAGATGTAAAAACTGGAGTTAAATGTTCCCATATCAGATGTTCTTATATGATTGTTCTCATTGTCCTTGTCCTCCAGAATCTATTATATAAGAGTTGATTAACTGCATTGCAGTGTATTCATGACCAGTGTCGAAAAGGAAATAGCAAGGAGGTTACTTTTACCTTCTACACCATTGTATTGACTTTCTTCTTGAATCAGTAAACAATGTTTTCACATACAAAGCACACAGTCACAGGAAAAGTTCACACACAGAAAGAAGTATTTTCTTTTCATGTTAAAAGGTCACTCCCTGGCTAAGACTCAGTCTGACTCAAATGTGATCTTAAAGACAAGTACTTTTGTATACAAACATTTCTGTAGTGGATTTGAGTCTGTTAGCCCACTGCCGATACTCACACTTGTAAGTCAGTGGTAGCACTTTGACCTCAGTATTGAAGTGAGTCTGCAATCAGTTTACTTTCATTAAGTTTACTAAGGAACTACGAGAAATAATTTTTTCATTTTCAGATAATTACACACAGTTCCCCTGAGTTAGAATACTCTATGTAAAACATATATTTTAATTGTATTTCTCTATTAGAAGCAATACTGAGGTTTTCTTGCTTTAATTAGTAATGGCAGGTTCAAAGAGCAAAGCTTTGCTAGGAAGTTTCCACTGCTTGTTTAGCTGTTGTCATTACAGTCACTACTTTCTGCCATAATAGAACCATAGGTTAAACTGTTGTAGTGCATTGGAGTATTCATATAATGACCTCCTATTTTTGCCCTTTATCTCCTAGCATTTTATACAAATTACATTTTGCTTTCTTGCCAAAATGGCAACTAGTATTTTTTTTAATGACTTGGATTTATTCTAGAACATGGAAGGTAGAATGCCATACAAAATGACAGCATCCTGTATGAGTGTGTGCAGACCCTACTCATGCTGGAGAAGCCCTTACTCAGATGCTGATCTAAAACACATGTCACTGGGTGGAGGCACTGGGGGCTTTGCCCTTGAGTATTGAGAGTAGAGCAGATGAAGCCTGGTTTGCACAGGTTTGGGTTTTTTTTCCAATGGAAGCATTGGGATGATATATAATGAGGTCAGGTCTTATCCCAGAGTGAGTTAGAGTATATACATCCAACCCCAGGAAGTAAGGTGTCTGCGAGTCCCACAGTTTCAGAGGCTGCTATTAAAACAAATACAAGCAACATGAGTAGTTGTTGTTGGGCTCCTGCAGAGCATGGTTTCAGCACTGCATGGTCTACACTTGAAGTTTCCAATACATTGATACGGATTAGCCTTCTCTTATCTTCTTCAAGTTCCAATTATGGTAATGAACAACAGCCCCCTTGACAGAAAAAAAAGGCAAGTATTAGAGTGAGAAATGGCACTCCAGGAGGACTGTTAGTATCCAGAAAATCTGTGCTGTTTCTGAGCCCATTGTCTTTAACGACAGTGTCTAAAATCAAATGAAAAGAGGAGAGTTCTGCATCCCTTTTAATAAACAGGAAAATAAAACTGCTGAATTTAGTGGGCTGTGACATTCAGCTGTTAATTGATGGGGTCAGTTGTTGGTGCAAACTGGGCCTCAGCCCAGACTGTTAGCTCTGCTGCAGAAAACGGACTGCGCTGATGCCCTGGGTCAGGTTAGGAGAATTTACTGAGAGCTGCAGGAGCATTAAAAATCAACCATTTCTAGACCATTTAATGCATTTATTGGTAAATAACTTGTACCGTATCTCAGTTTTCTGTGACTTTGGTAATGCGTGTAATTCTGTTTGATGTGACTTACAGAGACTTTTCTCTGGTGGAATTATACGGATATTTTCTAGGACAGATGAAAAGTTACAGGTGTAGCTATTGTGTAATCGAGATTAAAATCTGGTCTTTCATTCTTGGTTGTTATATAAGTATAAATTATTTGTCATCTTTTACTTTTTAAAAAAGTGCTTTTCCTCTTCTTTCCTCAAAATCCCTTCTGGAAAGTGAGGATAAGGATACAGTCCTTCTTTAGAAAGCTGCAAAATTAGAAATGCAAAAACAGAGGGTAAAGGCTCAAAGAAATAGGACGGGTTTTTGAATGTTTGGCTTTGGAGCAATGCACAGTTGACAAACAGAAGGCTTCTGTTGCTAAATAATGAATGATAATTAACACATTATCTTGCCTTTATGTCTGTTCAAAGAAGGAGGCAAAATGAGCTGCTGTTCTTCTAAGCTTTCTGAATTGTATCCTTACAGTTAGTTTTAACTCATTCACAGTATGAGGGCAATTGAAATAACTCTGGTCCTAGTAGCTGATATTCATCAGGAAAAATGTTTGGAGAAGCCATATGGCAACGGGCGTAAGGTTGTTAACTTTCAAAGCTACTGGAAGTATAATTCTGTCATTTTTCATTTATTCAGTAGTGGCAGCAGATGGGAGAAAACATGGTTCACGTCAGCATGAGTTTCCTGAAACAGAAACAGGCAGAAGAAGAAGGGAGGAGGTTACCCCTGGAAATATCAGTACCAAAATACCAGTGCATGCCAGGGATAGGTAAACATTTATGGGAGGTCCTTTTACAGCATTTTGGAGTCATTTTTTGTGCCTCAGTGCTTCTTTGATAGTTATGTGAGCTATGGATCTCTTTAACTGAACCAAGTAGTGTGGGTAGAATGAAAAGTAGTGTTGGAAAGCACAACTGTAATGGCAAGAAATTGGGATGAGTAGTTTTCTTTCCTTTCCCTTTATTAAATGGCAAGGAAGTGCATTTTAAGTGCATTCTGAAAGCAGAATTTAGGAAACTGCAGCACCGATACAAAGTGCTAATGATGTAGGGCCTTTGCTGGTGCTCATTTCTGAAAGAAAGATACCCAGTTATCATCCTTGGGGTACCAGCCAGGAAAATACTGAGCTTGCTGAGTGAGTGTGTCACTCGGTAACATCCGTGTCACCCTGTGCAAGATGGAGCCATCTCAGATGTGAGCGCTGCGAGGTCTGAAATCACCTGATCTTGATGGCTTAGAATAATAAAGTGTGTAACTTTGCAAAATGAGATTGTACCGCATTCCCCGAGAGCTTTTAAATAGAAGTGTGGAAAGAAGCCAGGTGAATTATGCAACACTGGTTGTTTAAAGGAATGTATATTTCTGTTGTACAGGACTGGGGTGAGATATGAAAGTACTGAAATTTTGAATACGGCATTTAGAGCTCCCAAAAAAGCTTCACCTGGCCCTGTCTTGTGGCTGCACTGGATTCCTACAATACTGTGCATCTACTAACATGTGAACCTCATGATGTTCAACAAGGGCAGGTGTAAGGTTTTGCTCCTGGGTCAGGGCAAGCCCTGGTATCAGGCTGGGGCATGAAGTGATTGAGAGCAGCCCTGCCAAAGAGGACCTGGGGCTACTGGTGGATGAAAAACTGGACATTAGCCAGCAATGTGCACTCACAGCCCAGAAGGCCAATCATATTATGGTCTACATCCAAAGGAACATGGCCAGCAGGTCTAGTGAGGTGACTGTGCCCCTCTGCTCTGGCAAGTCCCCACCTGAAGTACTGCATCCAGTTCTGGATCCCTCAGTACAGGAAAGACGTGGACCTATTGGAAAGGATTCAGAGGCCACAAAAATGCTCAGAGGGGTGAAGCACCTTTCCTATGAGGAAAGGCTGAGAAAGTTGGTGTTGTTCAGCCTGGAGAAAAGACTCCAGGGAAGGCCTCACTGGTGCTTTTCAGTACTTAAAGGGGGCTTATAAGAAAGATGGGGACAAACATGTTAGGAGGTCCTGTTGTGATAGGACAAGGAGTAATGGTTTTAAGCCGAGAGAGGGTAGTTTTAGACCAGGTATAAGGAAGAAATTTTATACAATGAGGATGAAAGTTGTGGCCCAGAGGTTGTAGATGCACCATCCCTGGAAACATTCAAGGCTAGGCTGGATGGGGTTCTAAGCAACTTGATCTAGTTGAAAGTGTCCCTGGTTATTGCAGAGGGGTTGATCCCTTCCAAACCAGTAAACAATTCCTCAAAACTACTTCATGAATTACTACAGAAAACTAAGAGCAATGCGAATATGATTACTGAAAATCCTCATGACTAATATATGTGTTAAATGCCTAGCTTCTGTGATCATTGTGTGGATTACTGTGATGATGAAACACGTAAGACTGCTATGCCCAGTAATGTATCATTAGTGTTATGTGTCATGCTTTTATAAATAACAAATAAATTATTTCATCCAAAGCTAATACCCACTTTATTTTTTTTTCTTCTTGATTTGGGCATTGCTACTTATGAATAATGATTATACCTTTATCCTACTCCCATATCACTGACATGCATCATAAACCTCATTTAGTGGTAAAGTGGTACTAACTTGAATTCTTTTTTGTGCCAATGTCTCACAGACTACGACTGATTCAAGCACTAGTGAAAGCAAGACTGCTGATGACTATATTATGGTTTCCAAAGAAGAGGAAGGAAGTAGAAGTACTGTCCCAGAGCCAGCACAATCCCTTCAGGCACACAAGGAGGCAGTGGTGAAGCCAGAAGCTCCTTCTCGTTCTTTGATATTCTCTGATCCACTGATGGGGTCCATTTCAGCCTCCTCCAGCAACCTGAGCTCCAGCCCTGATGATGACAGTAGTAATAACAGCAAAGATTCTGATTTCGCTATTGTCAGCCCACTGGACATCTAAAGAAACAGGTTGGAGGAGTTTGCAAGATTAATTGTTACAAATCAACGCAGAATCCTGTGATTGCATGGGCTCGATAATTCTTTGGATTAGAAGGACAGAAAATAGATAAAGGGAACCCATTCAGCTGCCAAAAGCCTAAATTTAAAAAAAAAAAACAAACAAACAAACAAAAAAAAACCTAAACTTAATAAATTTGCAAATTTTCCAAAAAGAGTAGACACCTTTTAATAACTGCCTTAAATAAAGACCCTGTAAATCCCTGTTCTAATATACAGTTATTCTTAGTTATATGCTTATCTTACTTAGAACCTTTGTTACAATAGAACTGTTGCTTTCCCAAAATATAGAATAGTATGTGCTAGGTATCATAATGGATTAGAAAATGTGTAGAGACTTGGCATCAGACCTGAAGCAGCAAAGACAAGCTGGATTTAATATCATCCTTTTACAAAATGTGCTTGACTGGGTTTTCTGAGGAGAAAAAGGTACTGTTTCTTTAGAGACTGTGATTAGAGAAGTGGGGAATGTATATGAGAAAGATTAAAACTATCACCCTTGCAGTAAGCTTGTTCTCAGTTGAGGAATCCTAGTTTCTTCATTTTCATCTGGCAGTAGCCTGAGGAGTGTTTGAAGCAGAGGTTTGTGTAGTTGTTCCTCAGCGCTGTCTTACAGGAGAGAGAATGTGTGACAAATTCCCTGAGAACAGGGACCTATACAACGTATTATTTCCTTTTGCCTACTTTTTTCCCCTTGTGAGGTCACAGTTTGCCTTGTTCCTTCTTTGTATCTCCTTTTACTCCCCCTGGCATGAATTATTTTTTATTTTACTGAGACTACCATGGTTAAAACAGTAGGTGCAAGGGAAATTACAATATTGCGTAGTGTAGGCCTCAGCCAGCTGAACTGCAACTAGCTTGAGTATGGTAACTTACCAGGGAAGGGTGCAAAGTGAAATGAAATGCTCACAGTTAAAAGCACTTTATATCTCATTGCTAGTATCCTCTGTAGACTCTGTTTACATATATTCCTATATGATTTCCATATTTCAAGAAAAGCGTAACGGTGCAGCAGTGTTAACCAACAGAAAGTTTCTAAATAACCCTAGAACTTGTTCTTCTATGAAAAAAGGGTATTTCTTTCCAATCAAGTACATAGTACATCTAAGAACAGTTTTTTCAAGCTGATGGGGGGTTCCCTATAAACTCTGTTGGAATTCATAAAAAGCAAGCAGTGGTAAGCAGACACCTCCTCTTGTAAGACCTAGACAGAGCTAGCCTGACGAAGGAAGGCTAGACTCATTCTATAACAGCATCAAAAGAAATTGTGTTATTTACTTTTCAGATACATTACACCATGCACCAACTTCGTAATTGCATGGCAAAGCTTGTGTTTGTATGGAGTTAAGAAATGGTAGTTACTTGCTGCTTAGTCTGTAATTGTAAATCAAGTACTGTATTCCAAAGATGAGGTGACATGTAGTTTGCTGGTCTTAGATTTCACAAGGTTTGTGCTAGTGACTGAATTGAAGAGATAATTGGAATGTAATTACATGGTGGCTGCCATATTCCTTACACCTTCAAAAAATGATGTGTAGTCCTTCTGAGATTATTTGTGCCTTGTTATATGATAAAATACTAGAATGTTATGAGCAGGCATAGCATGATACCTCTCTGCAACCGTGATATGAACAGTCAGATGAAAGATCTTAAATGCATAACATTTCAGAGAGGAATTTATTTTGGTTTAATTTTAAGCTTCATTTAAAGTCACTTTGGAATTCGGCATGCATGCCTGTCTTCAGGTTTATTTTATTTCCCTGAGTTTGCATGAATGCCAGGGGATTAGGTGGGCTGTTGATTTATTTAGGTCTTTCAAGATTTTCTAGCCTTAACGCATTCAGCAAGGCTTGTGCCACACCACCAACAAAGGGGAATCTGTTCAAGAAGTACCTATGGAAAGAGGAAAGAAATATTCTGGGGACAGAGAGAAAAGTTTTATATTCTGTGACACATAAACATTCAAAGATTCCAATACTTTGGCAGGGGAAATACTTTTACTTCTTTTTTATTTTTTTAAGCATCAGTCTTTTGATTTCTGTTCTGGTTGCTTGTTTCAGGGATCACATTGCTATTTTTTTGAACAGTCTCATTGCCAATGGAAGAGTGTGATTTGTACAGTCCTTTTATTTTTGTAAGTTAGTTGTATCTTTAATATTGCATATTTTAAAGCAGTCCTAAAAGTTTATAAAGATTTTGTGAGTTTCTGAGAAGTTTTCACTAATCAGTGAATACCGATGAGCTGAATGCCTGTCATGCCATGGGATATGATAAAAATCTTCATAAGCAGAGACATAATTATACAAACAAGATGAGAGTGATTTCCAGTAAATCAATTTATCTGCTTTGGTTATACCATGTCATTCCACATCTCAAATATATCTGATACTTGATCACAGTGCAGGGGTACTTAGAATTTTGTACATTCATTAAGTTTGAAACTTCTCAGTTAGACAAAATGTCAAGTCATAACCCTGTCTTGTGTTATGTTAAAAATTCCAAGAAAGAAATTGTCATTTAAAATACAAGATCAGTCTTTTTCTCTGAAGATGACCTACTCGTAATATTAATGGATAACAATAAGCAGATAGAAAAATTATATTCATTGCAATTTACTGATGAAAACTAATATGGGATTAAGATATGTATCTGAGACTGTTGTAATGTATCTCGCATCTGTAGTTTATGACTGTTTAAAGTCTCTTGCATGTCATGTCATTTGTATGTACTGCAGAAAGGCAGTATCGTATTTTCACTGGGTATTCATTTAGTCGTGGAACTTTGTGTCTTTAGTCTGGAAGAACATCTAGTCTGCTTTATTAAAGAAAGAATTAACAGATTTTCTGTGCTTGTGCTGTTTTCTCAATAGGAGGGAAAGCTTTTTGACTGAAAGACTGGAAGTGTGAATACTGAGAACAAGAGTAGTTAAAAACTTTATAATTATCCCATTATCTCCATAAACACAAATATTGTCAATATTTCAATCAGATTTTATATATATGATCCAGAAAATAAAACTACCTTCATTTATATCAGCCAAACAACAGAAAACTTTTCTTATTTTACCCTATTTATTGTATCTGTAAATAGCAAACCAGAATTTAACAACATATAACTTTTGTGCAGTTTCATGAAACTTGGTATAGTTACATCACTGTGTATCAGTCACAGTACCAGTATCTGTGCAGTTCACTTTTCTGAATCTCAATACTTTATTTCATATTCTTAAATGTTTCCTGTGATTCTCCAGTATGTTCCTATTAGATGGCACTGAGGCAGCTTTTTAAAAGATTAAATTTCAGATTGAAGGTGTACTTGTGCCCGGCAGTTACAATGTCATCTTTCAACTAAAGGCATAGCATTCCTAACGTGAACTCATTTCTGAGGGTGTCAGCCCTTAGATAGTACTTTCAATTCTGTGCTGCACATACTGGTCTTGAGTGAATATCTGTAATGGTTCATTAGACTTGAAAAGGTGCAATTTAATAAAATAAACTGCATTTGGCTACAGAATAGTAATGACGCTGTCTTATAATCTCTGCTGTTCTTTAAAAGTGATTATATACAGTCTCTGCATTAGTGTTTCCTGTGTCACCAAATCTGCTAGACTCCCACTTTAGTAGCTAGCTAAATTTAGAGATGAAAGAGCATGAAAGGAGGTCATCAGAGAAACAGCAACTTGAAGCGCGCACATAGGCAACTTGTTTGCCTGCTGCTTGAAATATATTTAACTGCTAAAATGAGGGGAGCTTTTAGATATGTGGGAGGACCTTGCAAGAGCCAAAGTGCATAAACCCAGAAACAATGAGCGGGAAGAGATGAAGCATGAGACTCTCAAACTCCAGGTTCTGTAGGACAGGAACCATCCATTTCTCTGAATTTGTACAGACCTTCTAGCATAGATTGCTATCATAGAATCATAGAATGATTGGGGTTGGTCCTTAGGATCATCTAGTTCCAAACCCCCTGCCATGGGCAGGGACACCTCACACTAAACCATGTCACACAAGGCTCTGCCCAACCTGGCCTTGACCACTGCCAGGGATGGAGCACTTACCACTTCTCTGGGCAACCTGTTCCAGTGCCTCACCCCCTTCACAGATCACATCATCACAGATGCTGTCAAAATTAGGATGGTAATAGTAATGATGTTTCACCAGGTTTTACTCTTTGCAACAGTGAGCTAGATGTAATCCAGTAATCATAACCTAGCTGATGGTAGTAGTATTGTGTCAGAGGAATTTGTTCCAACACTGATGATACAAGTGCAACTGAAGAGCAGTAGCTTAAACAAGTAAGATGAAACACAAAAAAAAAAAATCCATACCAAAACCAGGATAACAATATTGCCAAATAGAAAAAGCTGTATTTCTCTCGAGACATATAGTAAGTTTAAGAAGTGTTTTCTAAAATGTGCCTCAGGTGGCACTTGTGTACCTTTTTTGACTACACTAAGTCGGTTTGAGCAAACCTGTCTTTGGTTTTAACTTGCAAAAGCCTAGCTGAAGCTGAGGTGCTGGAAGCATTAAAATATATCAGCTGCAGAGGAAGACACTGCAGTTCCATTTTCTATGAATGGTAAGAATTTGATCATTCAAATCACGCTGATTTAACACTTTCACTGTCTTTCATGGTGACAACATGAAAAACCCTGTAAGCATTTACAGAGACTTGATGGGAACTCTGCTGCTTCAGTCATCACGTGCAGTCACAGAGCTTTAAGCTGAGAAAGTTTTCACAGCTTTGCCTTTCACTGTGTGCTTTGGGGACCATGGCAAGATTAGGTTTGCCTGAATTTTTAACTAGTACAAAGAAGAATTCGAAGAACCTATAAATTATCGTGTCAGCATTTGAGACCTTTTGGAATGTAAATGGGTACACAGTTTTCAGATGGAAGAGTGGTTGTCACAGTATCTTGATTTCCCACCTGCTGTGATAATTAAATCCAGTGGATGGGGAATGTAGTAGCTTTTTCAGATCAGCATTAAATTCCCCTTTAAAATAAGAGGAAATATCAAGCAAACATCTATTAAAAGGTAGTCATATAGCTTGCTGGATAATGCATACCTTTGTGCAATACTCAGGAACATGCATCTTTTTATGCAGAAGTA